CAGTGTTTGTGATATCTGCCAACAGCTGCTAGCTAATGTTAGCTCCCAAACCGAGAACTGAGATCAGGGTCATTTTTCAGTCACTGTCCTCAGCGGGATCTCTAGGTCTGCTACAAGATAGCTACAGTCAGCTGAGGATATCCATTTTGAATTACTCAAGTCAGTAAAGTGAGATCTGAACAATTTAAGTAACTTTTTAGCCAAACAAAACAAGAATGTATGCAGGTAAATACAGCACACATCTCCCAAAATGGTGCCCCCATCCTAACATTCAACACGATGTGACATACCTTCACATTCTCTATAGGCTGTTAACTTTGTGTTCAAAAGCAGAGACATCATGTTGCTTAATATGAAAGAATAGCCTGTTTTCAGGAACTACCACTGTGAGCTGATGAAGATCGGTGTCATATGGCCACTTCATGTGCTGCCTACACTCCATTTAGTGTGAAGATTAGCCTAAGAATGGTTACTGTGGTACCAGTGGTTGGTATGGTTAACTTTAGTTTAATGGTTACCTGAAGTTTAATATATGAATGTATAAAAATAAATTCAAAAGAAGTTTCATTGGTGATTTAACAGTTTACAATAAGTAAATGAGAATCTGAGCTCAATGCCAGATTTCATTACTCTGTGCTGTGGAGACATTTCTGTCAGCACTCATCAGGTATTAATGTTTGATATCCAGTTTTATTGTTAACCCAGTGTCACTCAAGCCAGTGTACTAAGTTCTTGTATGGCAGATAATATTTATTTATGGAGAAATAGAAGGGGAAAAAAAGTCTATTTTAATTTCCACTAAAATAAGCAACTGTCTGCACGCATTTCTGTTTTGCGTGGTTCTTATTCCCTCCAGTAAAACTCTTGATTCTTGTTACTTGTCTTAAGAAAGCTGTGGCAGTTTACATTCCCACAGGGCAGCTCATCCCAACAGTGACTGCTGTAAAGGGCTTGCTCTGAGTGCTCTGCTTTGGCTGAAAAATATTCACATGGTTGCACAACACAAGCTCAAAGTCAGTAGAGCATGAGCTCCATGACTTCCTCATTCACTAATAGATGGGCATGTACATGTTTCCTCTGCAGGGAATAGCGTAATGAAACTGTTGGAAAAATATTTACTCTCCTTTTAATAACCAGATGTATCATAAAGCAGAGTAGGGTATGGCAAGTTGTGTTAACATGTAATGGCCAGACAGATATATATAGTTCTTCCTAGTCAAAAAGAACATTTCAGATATCCACAATGACATTCTTCCTAGGACAAGTAACGCTTCTGCTATTCATGTTTACTGGGCGTTCAATTTCAGATATCCACAGCATCATTAGATATTCTGGATATCGGCAGTAGAATTCTTACGAGGATTAATCTCCCATTTCAGACTCAAAAAGTATTCCAGATATCCATAATATAATTGTGAAAATCAACAATACATCATGACTAGTAACAATGTCAATACAGTTATCCACAATTTGTTTTGACAGGTAAAAGCACAATTTCACATATCTACCTTTAGAATTATGACTAGAAACAATGTAATAGCAGACATCCACAGATGTAATTTGGATATTTGTGTGGAATGGTTTTTCTTTTAGCATGTCTGAAGTGTTCTTTTTGACTAGGAAGAACTGAATTACAGATAACTGCATGTACAGTATATCGAGTCTAGCTATTGAATGTAAAAATGGCCACTTTAAAGGGGATTTAGATGTGTTTAGTTTTGACCAGTAAAATAAAAGTTGTGCATACCCTTAAATACTAGTAAGAATGGTATTGTGGATATATTTAACTAGTGAGAAAACAAGTTTGACTGGGAGATGTGCTGTTATGGATATCTAAAATGTAATTACAGATGGAAGTGTATTAGGGGCTTGCCATAAGCAGGGGGCTGGACTGAAAGACACAAGCTAAACATGAAAGGTGCTTTAAACCTCTTTATGAAACATAAGATTAAACTGGTAAAAAGCTGGTAGTGAGCCGTTGTTGTTGCTCTTTTAAGAAGGATGTCTTGATCTGTCAGCAAAGGTGTTGCAATAGGAAACTGTTAGGCCATTGTGAAAACCCCAATCATGATGCTAAATAAGTGGTTTACTCAAGCCTATATATTTATGTAATTAAACAGTCAGTTTGATAGCAGCATTTTTGTTATGTCTTCTGCATCCTCCATTATTTGAATGTGGATCTCACCAACACTTTACCCATTCACATCGTTTTTAACAGAGTCAGAGCACTGACAGTACAAAACCTAAAAGTGACACAAAGAAGCACTTCCCCAGTGCCTCCTAAATTATTAATGATGCCCTTCGCTATCACATAACTCTGAAAGAAGAATCCCATGTAGTCACACACAAACACAGTAAAGACTGCTCTCCTCAGGAGGCTAATGCATCTCTGGTGAGTTGTACTCTCTGAACTACATGACAAAAACTGCTCGGGCTCCTGCAGCATCTGTGAAGCAAAGGTCAGGAACAGGGCCGGCTTCTATCACTTTATCCCACCACAGTGACACGCCATCCTGCCTCTGTGGATGGCGCGCAGAAAACAATGAGTCATACTTAATTAAGGCAGAGTTACTAAAAAAAGCTTGTTGATGTGAACGTACACATTAATAATCTTTGTCTGTCATGTTGAGTTTAGGCTAGTACAAATGCCAGATGCCGTACGATGCTAATTCACACTAAATGGTACTGATGTCCGAGCGTGTCCATTACAGCTGAGTCACTCCTTTTAATGAGTACTGAAGGGGAGGATAATCAAGGTAGGGCTTTAGGGTTGTGATGTGGTTTTTGGTTTAGCAGGGGGTTGGTTTCATGTGTATAGGAGAGGAAAGGAGGAGCACGCACTGGGGTTTATGGCTTCACTGGAATCTGGACAAACTGTAGGTACAGGGAGGCACTGTCCAGCTTTATTGCAAGACATACAGTGGCAAGAAAAAGTATGTGAACCTTTTGGAATTTCATGGTTTTCTGCATTAATTTGTCATAAAATGTGATCTGATCTTCATCTAAGTCAAGGGTACTGATGAATATAATGTGCCTACAAAAACATTCTGATCTTTCATGCCTTTAATGAAGACACTCATTCAACATTCAAAATGGCAGTGAACCCTTGGAATTAATAATTGGTTGACCACCCCCTGGCAGCAGTAACCTCAACCAGGCGCTTCCTGTAGCTGTGGATCAGACCTGCACATCGTTCAGGAGGAATTTTAGCCCGTTCTTCCTGCAGAACTGCTTTAGCGCTGCAATATTCTTTGGGCATCTCCGGTGTATGGCTCTCTTCAAGTCATTCCATAGCATCTCTATTGGGTTGAGGTCTGGACTCTGAATTGGCCAATCCAAAAGGCGGATTTTGTTTTTCTGAAGCCATTCTGTTGTGGACTTGCTCTGGTGTTTTGAGTCATTGTCCTGTTGCATCAGCAGAAAGACTTTGGTTATTTGACTAAAATCCTACTTAACTTCTGATGGAAGTTTTCTTGGAAGTTTTCTATTTTTCTGAGTGCATGAATTGTTTTTGGGAAGCAGACATTTGCTGGCTAAATGGATGCATGAATGGGTAGCCAAGAGAGAGTGTGATCAACAATTGGATTTGTAGGTTAATAGCATTACTTACTGACCACACAACTTGCTCATCTCACCCCATTTCAGGCTGCTGTCAGAGCCAGACAGTAATGCACTAAACCCAGAATGTAAGTACTGCAATGAATGAGCTAGGTTCAGAAAAGATTGACAACTGGCACTATTAGAGCTTTTAGCACCCAATTTATCCTCTGCCCACTGATGCAATAATCTGCCATGTAAGGCATCAGTTTGTGTGTAGTAGCATGGCAGTGTTTGGCCTGGTGGAGGGTCAGGACCATGGGATTAGGTCCAGGGATTATCACAGCTCAGCCAGGGAGACTACAACTCCGCTGGCCTCTGGGATTACACAGAAGACTGACAATCAGACAGACTGACTCCCCAGCTATCGTTGTGTTTTGTCCGAGTCTGTCTGTCCTCTTTCCTCCACTCACTCATCCACATTTCAGCAGGTAAAGAGCTTCCTAAATGCTCATTCACTGTCACTGCAGGAATTTAAATGTGACACTAATTCTTTCATGCTCACTAATTCTGTCATGCTCTGGGTGATAATACATTTTTATGATGAAACTCCACTCTGAGGATTTAAGAGACTTATACTGGATATAGGGCTGAACAGTCCAAAACCCAAACATTCAATTTAGATTAATACATTTGGTTTCATTAATTTGAGATTTTTTTTCTTTAAAATTTACTTATGTTTCATTAATTAAACAAACATTTGGTGATTAACTTTGCTGATCAGCAATTCTAAATAAAACCGTGAAGCTACAGTATGTAATACTGTAGCTCTAGCATGAAACTCCAAATCAGTCCACTCTGCTCGGCTTGGATATTTGTCATTATGAAATTACAAGAAATGACAATGCAACAAAACTTACTGTATAAGCAGAAGTAATTGAAATTCTCTGATTGGTTAGAGAGGTCAGTCCAAAACCTTTTAGAAGCTAATATCTCTGCACTGCTGCCAATGCTTTTTAATGAGTCTGGGTCACAGGAGGCTTGGACAGCACCTCTTCACATTAAGATAAGGTTTGAAACATATTTCTACAACAACTAAAAACTGGAAAAAGTTACATACTGTAGCTTTAATAACATTTCCAGATATTTAACTGTGGCAAAAGCACACAAAGGTCTCTCTAGAATAATAAGACACTGCAATAAACCTTGTTCACTGATCACATTGGACAAAGCTGGTCAAAAGTGTCGAACAAAAACTTCACTGACTAATTCTTTCCCAGGTGATTTCTTTGGAATCCTTCCTTTGGTGAACCACGTTTTTTTTGGTGTAGCTCGATTTAAAGTTCTTAAATGATTATGTTTGCGTCATTATTGCACCATTCATGTTGCACGAAACAGAGTTAAGACATTTCCCAGGCAGTTTAAGAACAAGAAGTTAGTGATGTCTTCTGTTTGCTTTCTAGGACCCCGCTGTGCGAATGAGTGATTGATGCCAACTTCGCTTCTTCAGGTAGACAATGTTTAATATGCACAGGCTCACATGCAAGAATTAAATTTCAAATTTAATAATATTTTATTTAATTATATTTTCTTTCAGTATTACTTTCCAAAAATTTGCATACATGTTGAATTATAGAACACATAAACCCTCAATCTCTTGGTTTTAATAAAACATATTAAGTATATTTAGATTTTTATTTCTATGATATTTATTGTTGTTTTTGACTGATGCCTTGCTTTCCCTGTTGTTGTGGCTCTTCCATGTAGGGCAGAATGGGTGTGTGTCCCCTGCTCCTGCTGCTCGGTCTAGCCCTCTGGGCCTCAGCTCAAGATCATGTCCCCATCGCAAGTACGACTCATGCCCAGTTAAATTAAATGTCTTTACTTACTCATCTTCTTAGGTTTAAAAGCTCCTGGTGAGACACTGCAGAACACTTGACCTACTCTTGTTTCCTTCATTTCAGCTCCACCAAATATCACTGCCTCCGTCAACTTGACAGTCACCCACACACCAGCCCCCATGGCCCCACCTGCAACACTTACTGTGACGACAGTAACACCCACAACAACAACAACAACAACAACCACCACCTCAACCACAGCCCCAACTGGTGATGGAGTACATTCATCTAATTCCACCCCGCTGGTGTTACCAGCTCCTTCTCCCTCACCTTCAGTTCCATCAGATGCCCCTCAGGCACTACCAAGCACCGATCCTCCCCCTCCTACTACCTCGGTGTGGGAAGGAAATGGGACCATTGATACGTCACCTAGAGAGACACATCAGGATGAGGATACATTCAGCGAGGAGCAGGAGACAACCACACAAGCTGGGTTTGAGTTCACCTCAGTTAGCAGCCCACATGGTGAGTGCTGGTGTATGCACTGGTTTTGAAGCAGTTATTCTCTCCAGAACCCCTTTAGTGTGAGTATACTTTTTACAGTTTGGGTCTTACTTCTGTAATTCACTTGTAATAAGATGGTACTCAAGAAGGGAACATCTGGGAACAAGCCAACATCACTAAGAATAAGTCCAATGATTGTTCAGGTTTCAAACTACTTGACCTGCTGTAGCGATGTCACCACATTCCCAGATCTCAGCAGCTGCTTTAGTGAGTATAATTACCATAAATAGAAATAATGGTAAAAACTAGAAAACTAAAACCTGTGTTTTAATTTAAAAAACTTTAAACTCTCATCACTTTGCCTAAGAAAATATTCACCCTCATACACTATTCTCAGAGAGGAGGAACAATTGATTCAGTCTAAATTCTGTATTATTATGGTGCACCTTTCATAAGTTATACAGGAACAAAATTATTGTAGAAGAGAGAGATGCTAGGTCCTCCATCACCAGTTGTTTCAGTACACCAAGCAACAAGATAGGTGAGTGACTCATTTTATCTTGAACAGAAAATGCCTGTCATCCCTACTGTTCCTCTCACTCAATGTGTGTACAGCCTGCAGCCGGTTGTAAGGATTTGTCATCAGAGTCATTCAAGACATGCAGGAAGTCATTAAGGTTCTATTCAGAACCTGCGTCTTGTACCCAAATATTTAGGTTTGGTGGCATGATGGGATTTTTCCTTGTTACTCACGTTTGATTTTATCTGTGGTAAAACTGCTGTACCTGCTAAACAGGAAAACAGACCGCCGTGTAGTGGCTGTTTAGTCCTTTTCTTCAGGTTTGTGCTTTTAAACCTTTTACATGTATTTTGTTACTGGCAGATCAGCTGTATACACCTGTGTCAGAGAGGGTTCTTCTGTTTTTTGCACACTATAAAGATGACTGGGCAGTCCTTTGTTCCTCCTGTTGACCCCAGTGCAGTCTTAATGCATTTTGGGGGCATTCAGACCTGCATTTGTTATCTGAGAAACACTTTAATTTAATGTATGAAGAAAAACCAGCTGAAGGAATGTGGCTACATCAAGAAACCAGTACTTCATTAGATTAACTCCCGGCATAAATGAACATTTCAGATTGATTGTCAGTGTTGTTGTTTTATCTAGTTGTGTGTTATTCACATAGACCAGCTACAGTTAGAAAGAGTGAGTTTTCTGGTCAAGAGTCAACCTTTAATATTTTAGATAGGTGAACATTTCTCTGCTTTTAGAGCCCATTGTAGCAGTGCTGGAAATATCCTGATGTGATATACCTGCATTTGAGCAGTCATCCACAAGAATCCCACAGAAACCCACCAAACCAAATGACAGAGATGCTGCCGAAAGCATCTGCTACTTTAATGAATAAACAAATGGTGCTGAGGGAAGATTTCTTCGTATCTGCTTTATTTTATAAAATACCGATTTTGATGTATTGAAGAAGATGCTTGAAATGTCCAGCGTTATTGAGCTTCATCTTTTAGCAGCTTTGATTCTTTGACCATTCTAGTAACATCCTTGTAAGTGAAACATGATTACCCCATCCTTTTTTTTGCATTAATTATTCATATTGCATGATTATAGAGAAATACACGACTCACTATCATATGTCAATGATTGATTTGGAAAGAAGATTTTTATTATCAAGTATAATAACAGCAGGCATATTCTGAAACTATCTGCAGTTATAAAACAAGACTTAAAATGTTGTGGTACAAAAACACTTGAGAGGGAAACTGTGGTTCTAATTAGGATTATACACTCCTGGTAAACAGAAATTTAACAGATGTGCCTGCACCACATTACATGGTATGTCTATTATGTAACATAATCACTTTAGGGTTATAGATGTAATTTCTCCATTGTCTCCTTCTGGCTGTGTGCGGGTCTTGTGTGGATGAGAAGCTCTAGATGGCATGAAGTCCATCAAGGTTGTGTTAGTTCCACATTATACCCATAGCCTGTTGTGCTCCTGCTTTCCTCAATGTACACATTGTCCAAGGAAGAATGCTGAAAAGTCCGGGGAACAAATGCAACATAACTGGGCATCATTCCAAAGTACTTCCCCCAGTAAGCACATATGGAGCATGAAGTCAAATGATGCATTCTTTGCAGCGTGTTTTTGTCCATAACAATAAGAACAGTGATAAATTTTGAGTAAGTCTGTGGAACTGCTGATTTTGTCTTTGCATTGTCACTGTGTAGTTTTCTAGTATCTTACAAACTCCTGTTGTTGTTCAGGCAGAATCTCATGTCTTTTTGTGTTGACGGTGGCAGTGAAAGGTCACCAGGAAGACTATAGGAATGCCTTCAACCAGAAACTCATGAGCATAGTGTAAACATATAAGTTGGTCAGCCATTGTAATCTAGAGGATGCATCATAAAGAATGGATAACTTGGTCTGTGTAATGTCTCATTTGTAATGTTGAACCTAGGTGAACATCAGTTTGTTTTGGGTTTTTTTTTTTCTTTTCATTAGTCGATAACATCACAGGAGACCCACACGATTTCTGGTTTGTGATACCTAATGTTACAAAGCGTTTAATATTTACACTCTGAATAATTCATGTTGACTTAACAACAGGCATTCTAAATGTTTCGGTAGTTACCATCACCCTGGGTCTGCTGTCTTGCTGGGTATAACCAGGAACAGAAGCCAAGTGTTGACCCTCTCAGTTACTCCAGAGGGCAGCTTCTTGATTGTGTTTGTTTTGTTTTTTTTTTCTTTGGAAAGCCAATGAAATATTAAGATGGACAGCCATGATGGAAAGGCTGGGGTTGAAGATGCAGAGCCTACCTTATGACCTTGAATTTTTTGGGACATTAAATAGCCAATAAACATCCATTACAGTATACACTGAATTCCAAAACCACAAGTAGATTGATTGATTAGTTGATAAACACAATTTATAAGCAATGATTCTAGTAGTCAAATAGTCATTTAAACCAATAGTTCAACATTTAGGAAAATATGTTTCTTGCCAAGAGTTCAACATCCTCTGAGTTTATTGTCCACACTGTAAACTTACTCTGTTGCTCTATTCTGTGCGCTTAACATAATACTGTATGTCTGTTGCTCTTCTCTCTCTGATGCAGACAACAACTCCACTGAAGATATGCCGATCATAGCCGTGATGGTGGCCCTGTCCTCCCTGCTGTTCATCATCTTCATCATCATCGTCCTCTACATGCTTCGGTTGGTGAAATGCTGTTGATGTTCTTTATACAAAATTAAGCCAGAGACCTGCAGTGCAGGCTTAAGGTGCTGCTGTCACCATAGCAACGTCTGATTGGCATTCTGCTGTGAGACTAAAGCAGGATGTGTTTTATTTGTGTGTGTGTGTGTGTGTGTGTCTGTGTGTATTAATATGCACTTTGTTCTGTGTTGATTGACAGGTTTAAGAAGTACAAGCAGGCAGGAAGCCATTCAAACTCCTTCAGGCTAGCCAACGGTAGATCAGATGATACAGGTAAAGCATCCACACATGCAGTAGTGTGTTCTTTGTATTTGTCCGCAGATATGACCATTTTTTGTGTTGGGTCGTTTCATCTAATATGTACAGTCACCTCAACTAAACTTTTTGCTGCCAGTTGTTTCTGATAATACTTGATTGATATCCTTCCCCTAACTGATAGCATTTCACTGACTGACTGTTGGCAGGAGGCTTTTGTTCACTGTGATTACCTAACCAACAGGGCTGCAGTTAGCACCCTGATGTGGTATAGCTTTGTTACATCGCCCTCTGGTGGGCATCTTTAGAAAAAACAGTGGATGATGAAGTTGTTACTTGATCTAAGACAGTTCCACTCTCACCTTCTTACCCGGTCTCCTCTGTTCTTTATCACCATCTGTCCCACACCCCTCCTATTCCTTCTCTTCTCTCCTTCCACCTTCTTTCCTGCTCATGCGCACAGAACTTCAGAGCGTTCCATTATTGGCTCGTTCACCCAGCACAAACAGGAAGTACCCTCCTCTTCCTGTCGACAAGCTAGAAGAAGAAATGAACCGTCGCATGGCTGATGACAACAAGCTTTTCAGGGAGGAGTTTAATGTATGGCACACTCAAGCACGCACCCTCTGATAATACACTGAGCCTGAGATTCACCTGTAACCCAACTCACTTTAGCCTAAACAAATGACTCCCAATCAGGAGTACTCACAACCCAGTGGGTACTTCAGTTGCCAAGGGGTACGTGGAAAGATTGTGGAGAAGCTCAGCTAATATGAAAACGTAGAGCCATCATTGGACTAAACTCCCAAAAATCCCTCCCATAATACTACGCATATCCACTGACCAGCCTGGACTTGATATATCTGTGCAACAATACAGTGCAAAAATACTTGTGTAGTAACCTCATGAGCAAAATAGACAGTATTATTACTTTGCTTCTGGGCCTTCTTTGTATTCTTATGGATATACGGCTGCTTTGCTTATTTGTTATGTATTATATTGGTATTTACTGTTTATCTTTATTTATTAGGTCTCTCATTTATCTATTATTATAATGACTGGTATTTAACTTCCAGAGAGCAGGAAGCAGTTTTGTTGTATCATGTATGTGCAATGACAGTAAAGATATTCTGTTCTATTCCAAGTAGAAATTATGATTTGATTAAACAATATATCCAGGCATTGCTACTTAGGAGGAAAATAATAGGAAAATATTTTTCTAAAAGCAATTGAAATTTAAATTGAAATGAATGCATTTGGCACATGAGCAGTAGGGGCAGTGAAGGAGTACTTGAACTCATCTAGTGAGGATGTGGAGGAACATCAGAGAAATGCTGGGAACCACTGGACTCTCCAGTGCACCCAGTTACTCTGTGATTGGTTCTGATATGTTCACACAAAGTTGGCAGTGTTTTTCTAGATAGGCGAGCCTAACAATGGCCCGGACATTTAAAAATTTAAGATGCTTCCACGATGTTATTTGAATTGTCTTATATAAGATTTCATTGTTTTGGTCAGATTATCAGCCTATTGCTGAAGCACATTCTGACAAAATCCATTTGGGGTGACTATTAGACATGCAGCAGACACAAGGATGGAGCCATCAGGAAATGATGTGCAGGGTCACACAGAGAAAACTGAAACTGATACAGGTCTGTCTGCTTTTTGTTTATCTAAATTATTTTTTTTGTTTCCGTTGTGTTTAGGCTCTGCCAGTTTGCCCCATCCAGGCATCATGCGATGCTGCTTCCAAGGAAGAGAATAAAGAAAAAAACAGATATGTCAACATCCTGCCATGTGAGTGACAAAGCAGAGTGTGTCAGAATTGTTCCCTTGTTCTCAGCATTTATCAGTACAATCACAGCCAGAGCCTAATAGTAAAAGCCAGTTTACAAAGTGATTTCCTAAAGTATAGTTTAGTGGTTAGGATGGAAAATTTGTAATCTACCGTGTATAATTAAAACTCCCCCTCTCATTATATGTCCTCTCTTCTTCTTCTTTTTTTTTTTTTCCATGTCCCCTGCCTTTTCTCTCAGATGATCACTCCAGGGTGCATCTCTCATCTCTGGAGGGAGTCCCTGACTCTGACTTCATCAATGCCTCCTTTATAAATGTTTGTATAAGTGTGGCATTTTTTTCTGTAAAAGAAACAGCTGTGATCCGGATATGAATTTCTTATCCACCTTTTGTTTTTTCTTTTTTTGCAGGGTTACCAAGAGAAGAATAAGTTTATTGCAGCTCAGGGTAAGATTGCAGCCTGCGCTGAGGACAACACACTGGGCTGTGCTGTCATTCAATAAACAAACAACAAACAGACTGCTTCATTATTAGCTCATCACTTGTCCTCTCGGTTTCTGGTATCTGTCTCGGGCTCTCAGGGCCAAAGGAGGAAACCATAAATGACTTCTGGCGCATGATCTGGGAGCAGAACACAGCTACCATTGTCATGGTGACCAATCTAAAGGAGAGGAAAGAGGTAGGAGATCTGCAGCAGGAAAGATGATGCTTGTGTTTGTATACAGTGTTCTTAAAACCTGTTTTGTATAGAACATACTGTACATACACAGTTTAGGTGAGAGAGACCTAGTAGTTCCATTTAAAAGCATAATATACCAAAATCACACTCAATCTTTTATTGTGCTGGTTTTAAGTGAGGGCCAGGACAAGCATGACTAGACTGTCATAATACATGGGTGCTATTTAGTACTTTTAATGCAGTTGTAAATCCCTCTATTGCTTTATGGTCCAATGTGTCCTTGGGTAATTGTGAAGAATTTCTCTTTTTTGTAGAAAAAAAATTCAGCCTGACCCTTCTACTGCTCCTACTGATACAGTAATCTTTAACCAGCTTGAGCCTGTCTCTGTAAGTTCACTTTCTGAGGTTGCCCATCAGCCTAAACCCACTTATTGGTCACTTGATGTCCTTCCCCCATCTTTGCTTAAAAAGACTTTTAGTACGATTGGTCTTAATGTTCTTAGTTTGATTAATGGTTCAGATTATGACTTCCCTTCAGCTGTTCATTAAACTTTGCCAAAACTGAACTGAAATGCAGTGAGGCTATCATTCTCTTGTGTGCACAGCTTGGTGAATATGCTTGGTGTTAAATCGCTCTCTGTGTTTCAGTGTAAGTGTGCCCAGTACTGGCCGGACCAGGGCTGCTGGACATATGGGAACATCCGAGTGTCGGTAGAAGACACGATGGTTCTGGTGGACTACACAGTCCGCAAGTTCTGCATCCAACAGGTAAACCTCTTATTAGTGAGAGTATTCTCTGTTGTGAGATGTTGTCTCAGGATAAGTTTGGCAGTTACTGTGCCTCACAAAGTCAAATTGCTCATTTTTTTACCCTCCCATTTTGTCTGGTAATAGTGATAGAATTCTTACAGTGGTACAGTAATAATGACTAATTACACAAGAGGCAGACACTAAAGGGATTCAAATATTCACTTAGATTTTGTATTATGTCACATAGATGGAAACCATTGAATTACAGCTTGGTTTATAACTCTGTTTGTTTGTATCACAGGTGGGAGATGTATCTGGGAAGAAGCCTCAGAGGCTTGTCACCCAGTTCCACTTCACCAGCTGGCCAGACTTTGGGGTGCCCTTCACCCCTATTGGCATGCTCAAGTTCCTTAAAAAAGTCAAGGCCTGCAACCCCCAATATGCTGGTCCCATTGTGGTTCATTGTAGGCAAGTGGATAAAAGCTTTCTCTTTCATTTTGGCTCATTTTTTATGTTTCTGTGTGTGTGAGGCACACAGCTCACCACATGTCACCTTTCTTGTCAGTGCGGGAGTCGGGCGGACAGGTACCTTCATTGTGATTGATGCCATGTTGGACATGATGATTGCTGAAAGGAAGGTGGATGTGTTTGGCTTCGTCACTAGGATCAGAGCACAGCGTTGTCAGATGGTTCAGACTGATGTAGGTTCAGTGTTGACACTAAATATGTATCACAGTTTATATTCACATGAATTCAATCTCTCCTAGATGCAGTATTGACTTTAGCTTGATGTTCACCTTGTCTTCTCTCTCTCCCCCACAGATGCAGTATGTGTTCATCTTCCAGGCGTTGTTAGAGCACTACCTGTACGGAGACACAGAGCTGGAGGTGACCTCTCTGGAGTCCCACCTGGCCAAACTCTACGCCCCCTCACCTGGAGCTGGCTGCAGTGGTCTGGAGGCTGAATTCAAGGTGTGTTGTTTTCTTCAAAAAGAGACTGTTGCCCCCATTAGCTGTCGTACCTCTACATCAAACAGTTTCATTTTAATAAAATGCGTCTCTGTTGTGGAAAACTTCTAATATGGGAAGTTTATATGTTACATTTGACCCACACAACTTCTAGAAACTGACATCCATCAAGATTCAGAATGACAAGATGAGAACAGGCAACCTGCCCGCCAACATGAAGAAAAACAGAGTCCTACAGATCATTCCATGTGAGTGATGCAGTGGGTTTATTAAGTCTGCCTACACACTGTGATGAATGCTTTGATGCACACGATGAAATTGTAGTTGCACACCTCGTGTCAACTCTTAAAGCTTTTTTTCAGTAGAGGTTAATGCTTCTCCTTGCTCCTGACAGATGAATTCAACAGAGTGATCATTCCAGTCAAACGAGGAGAGGAGAACACCGACTACGTCAATGCCTCTTTCATTGATGTGAGTGTAAAAGCACCTGGATGAGAGTGGATCATTTCATTTCATTAATGCAAGCAATCAATCAGGGGTTTTACATCTCCCTTTCTCCCTCATACTGTTTGTATCATATATCCACCATCTGGTCACAGGGCTACCGTCAAAAGGACTCATACATGGCGAGCCAGGGCCCCCTGCAGCACACCATAGAGGACTTCTGGAGGATGATCTGGGAGTGGAGAAGCTGCTCCATAGTCATGCTCACTGAGCTGGAGGAGAGAGGGCAGGTGGGGATGTGTGCAGATACAAACACTAGCGTTAGATATCAGGTCAATAACTGGCTAAAATAGAATACTGATTTTAGATAATATACTCGTTGCTAGCTGGATGCCACCAGTCTTGTGTAACACGTTAATATTTTGAGCAAAATGATTTCATCTTTAGTTGTTTTCTAACATATCTTCATCTCAAATCTTTAATAAAATGTGATATACTTTATTAGCAATCAAGTTGTCAAAATGCTTTCAAGAGTAAACATAGGTGTTAAAGCTGAACAGTCACAACAGGATATCACCTTTAAAGGGTTCTCTTTTATATCTGTGGACACAATAATAACATTTTAGGTTTCCTTAAAACCATTAGTCCTAAAATGTTGTTATTTGATCGTCTCCACTGTGTCGTGCAGGAAAAGTGTGCTCAGTATTGGCCCAGTGATGGAGCGGTGGTCTATGGGGACATCTCCATCGAGCTTAAAAGGGAGGAAGAGAGTGAGAGCTACACAGTGCGTGACCTCCTGGTCACCAACAACAGGGTGAGAGAGGATTTAAACAAGCAGGCACTCCACAAACAAACACACTCAAGGTTCTTAGACATAACATGTAATATTGTGCTCTTTAGAGCTCAGTGGTTCCCAAACTGGGGCGGGTGGGCCAGAGGTAGGTCAGGGTGGGACACGGTAGCGGCTAAATACAGTGGTGTGAAAAAGTATTTGCCCCCTTACTGATTTCTTATCTTTTTGCATGTTTGTCACACTGTAATGTTTCAGATCATCAAACAAATTTAAATATTAGTCAACGATAACACAAGTAAACACATCATGCAGTTTTTAAATGAAGGTTTTTATTATTAAGGGAAAACAAAATCCAAAACTACAAAGCCCTGTGTGAATAAGTGTTTGCCCCCTAAACCGAATAACTGGTTGGGCCACCCTTAGCAGCAACAACTGCAATCAAGCGTTTTCGATAACTTGCCATGAGTCTGCCACAGCGCTGTGGAGGAATTTTGGCCCACTCATCTTTGAAAAATTGTTGTAAGTCAGCCACATTGGAAGGTTTTCGGGCATGAACTGCCTTTTTAAGGTCATGCCACACCATCTCAATTGGATTCAGGTCAGGACTTTGACTAGGCCACTCCAAAGTCTTCATTTTGTTTTTCTTCAGCCATTCAGAAGTGGACTTGCTGGTGTGCTTTGGATCATTGTCCTGCTGCAGAACCCAAGTTCGCTTCAGCTTGAGGTCACAAACGGATGGCCGGACATTCTCCTTCAGGATATTTTGGTACACAGCAGAATTCAGGGTTCCATTTATCACAGCAAGTCTTCCAGGGCCTGAAGCAGCAAAACAGCCCCAGACCATCACACTACCACCACCAATATTTTACTGTTTGTATGATGTTCTTTTTCTGAAATGCGGTGTTACTTTTACACCACACATAATGGGACACACACCTTCCAAAAAGTTCAACTTTTGTCTCGTCTGTCCACAGAGTATTATTCCAAAAGTCTTGGGGATCATCAAGATGTTTTCTGGCAAAACTGAGACGAGCCTTTATGTTCTTTTTGCTCAGCAGTGGTTTTCGTCTTGGAACTCTGCCATGCAAACCATTTTTGCCCAGTCTCTTTCTTATGGTGGAGTCATGAACACTCACCTTAACTGAGGCAAGTGAGGCCTGCAGTTCTTTGGATGTTGTTGTGGGGTCTTTTGTGACCTCTTGGATGAGTTGTCGCTGCGCTCTTGGGGTAATTTTGGTCGGCCGGCCACTCCTGGGAAGGTTCTCCACTGTTCCATGTTTTCGCCATTTGTGGATAATGGCTCTCACTGTGGTTCGCTGCAGTCCCAAAGCTTTAGAAATGGCTTTATAACCTTTTCCAAACTGATAGAGCTCAATTATTCTCTTTCTCATTTGGTTTTGAATTTCTTTGGATCTCGGCATGATGTCTAGCTTTTGAGGATCTTTTGGTCTACTTCACTTTGTCAGGCAGGTCCTATTTAAGTGATTTCTTGATTGCGAACAGGTGTGGCAGTAATCAGGCCTGGGTGTGGCTAGAGAAATTGAACTCAGGTGCGATAAACCAGTGTTTTGACAGGGGGGCAAACACTTGTTCACACAGGGCTATATAGTTTTGGATTTTGTTTTCCCTTAATAATAAAAACCTTCATTTAAAAACTGCATGATGTGTTTACTTGTGTTATCTTTGACTAATATTTAAATTTGTTTGATGATCTGAAACATTACAGTGTGACAAACATGCAAAAAGATAAGAAATCAGTAAGGGGGCAAATACTTTTTCACACCACTGTATAAGTGACATATAGGGGGGGGAGTTGACTGTTAGTTCTTATTCTTATCAGCCTCACTTCACGCCACTATACTGTCACTCTTTTAATGAATGAACCCTTGGTTTCCCACCGTGAACACACATGCTGAAGAATGTTTTTCTTTATTTGAATGCTGATGATAACATACTCCTTAAAACATATCCTGGGCGATTATTTTGCCCTCATCTTTTCCAGGAGAACAAAGCTCGAGCGGTGCGTCAGTTCCACTTCCATGGCTGGCCAGAGGTGGGCATACCCACCGATGGAAAGGGCATGATCAACATAATTGCTGCAGTGCAGAAACAGCAGCAGCAGTCTGGCAACCACCCCATCACTGTACACTGCAGGTAAAATGCACACACAACCTTAGTATGTTGCTGTTTTAACTTGCATATATGTAAGAAGAAATTGTGGTATAAAACATTATATTGAACTTTGTATCAGCATGTTGCACATGGAAATGCATCTCACAATCAAGCGTGCTTCTGTGTGTCTGGGGAAACAGTCGCAGGAAAAAACAGTTCAGAAGAATTGTTCTCTTCTTCTTTGTGGCATTTTAACTGCTCCCAGAACTGTTGCCTTGCTTCTTCTCTAACATGTACACACACACACACACACAACAACGCTTCTTCTTACTGCATGTTTGCACTTTGTATACTGAAGTTTACAATTTTGCATGTATGTGTCTACAGTGCTGGTGCTGGCCGGACAGGGACTTTCTGTGCATTGAGTACAGTCCTGGAGCGGGTGAAGGCAGAGGGTATCCTGGATGTCTTCCAGACAGTCAAGAGCCTCAGACTGCAGAGACCCCACATGGTGCAGACTCTGGTGAGGGCCTTTGGAACCTAAAATTGTAAACATTAGTTATAACATGTACACCTACTTAATTGGTTAGTCTCTGCAAGGGAACATGAGACATTTTCTTGCTTCAGATTTGCTCTTAAGAATTTGTGAAATTGGGTATGGTCCCCTTTTAAAACTCCACCTGTTGGCATTTTTCTTCATTAAGCAACGGGTGGTTAAGATAGAAACCAACCAAAATCTAAATACCAGTTGAATTTTTGGTAGAAATTATGGTCCTAGAGTTAACTTACAAATACAGTAAAATTCACATTTTAGTGTATATTGTACTGTGATTGATTTGTAGATAGATAACAAGGTTTTAGGAGCAGTTTTTTCACATACACTGTCAGCCATTATGTCTATGACATGATCATTATCTCTAATCACTGACTTAAGTAGATTACAGTGTACTCTTAGTGTTACTTGTGTAGTTTCCCAGCTGACGTGGCTGTTTGTCCCGCCCCTCCCTGCTCAGGAGCAGTACGAGTTCTGCTACAAAGTGGTCCAGGAGTATATCGATGCCTTTTCTGACTACGCCAACTTCAAGTAGAGACCTGCCGTGGATTCACAGATGTCCGCATACACTTTATACAAGCATATGCACGCATCAGAACACGCACACATAGTACATTGCCATGCAGAAAGCTGCATATTCCCATCTGATGGGTTTAAAAAAGACTCATCATAACTTGATCTGTGGATGGGATGAACTGCCTGAAGGAAAAGGGAACAGAAGTCTTTATCCGGAGGGCAGGGCAGTGCTGTGGAATAGAGAAAATAACTGAAATGCCTTCTTGAATATTTTGTAATAATGGTCTTGTTAATACACCCCTTCACCTCTATTTGCTTCCTGTCCCCTTCCCCATATGTACATATACTTATTGGGGTGCATCTTTTGACTTTGGTTTCACACACAGTCTGGAGTTTGGCTGCATTTTTGGCAATGCATTTCATTTGTGTGTGTGTGTGTGTGTGTGTGTGTGTGTGTGTGTATAAAACCCGAATGCTTTAGAGGCTAATGTAAAAAATCCAGTCATTGTAATGATGTTTGGATTTTTTTATTATATTTTATTTTTTCTACTTTTTCGTGACAGACTTAAAACATTTTTGCGTGAGCCAACCTGTAGCAATATGTGTGGTAGCAAAACCAAGGAGTTTCTACATTTACAGACAAAACTTGGATTGTTTTCCATTCCAGACATTCATACATATTCTCACACACACACACACACACACACACACACACACACACACACAGTCAGCGCCATTTTTGTTCACACAGATTGGGTTGCATCTACTTGGCAAAAATGATTTGCGAGGCACTTAAAACTGATTTTTGAAAATCAGATTTTATGTGATGTAGCTCAAAGTCTCAGGTTGACACACGCATAAACATAAACACTTAATACCAGGAGCCATTCATGTGTTTTTTGTTTTGTTTTGTTTTTTGGGTTTTTTTTTTATTGTGTGTTTGTATGAACTGGAGCATAAGCTGACAGTGAGGACACAGTGTGTTTTCACATCCCTTTCTTTATCCACCGAGTGCCAAAGTCCTTCGCTCACTAGGTCGTGCTCTCTGGAGTCAGAGAAACAATCACACATATGCATGCACTCAGTATAAGAAAGCTACATTCCCAGACTATAAAAGATTAGGAAAGTAGAAACCACATATAGAAAGTTTTTTCCCCTGTACACTAAAGGAGTATAATGTGAGGGTCAGGAGAATTGGTGAAGCTTTTTTTAAATGAATGATTTTTATTATATTTTAAGGTCTGTTACAGTATCAGCAGCAGCCTGATCATGTTGACAAGCCAAATGACTAAACAATCACAAGCAGCTCCATTCTTGCATCATAGAATCATCAAATGTTATATACCCTGCATATTTCTGTTTCTTGTTTACGGACACACAACAGTATTTCTTGTACAGTAGATTGTATTTGATATTTCTTTTCTGTGTTGGTTTCCTTTCGAGTCTGTCTGAAGTTGACTGTTAGTTCTTATTCTTATCAGCCTCACTCCACGTCACTGTACTGTCACACTTTTAATGAATGAACCCTTGGTTTCCCACCGTGAACACACATGCTGAAGAATGTTTTTTTTATTTTTTATTTGAATGCTGATGATAACGTACTCCTTAAAAATGGATATGTTACTTTTACAAGTGGAGGTGTGTTATTTGATTTTTAATGGCTGTCCTGCAAGGACCACGTGGTAAAGACACTCAGATTTGAACTACAGTGTTTTTAGATGAAGTCATAATTGCGGCCGTGCCCTTTATGAGTGAATGAAAGATGAATGATGGTGGGTAACCGCAGGGTGTCAGGTTGGTCCTAATTTGAACCCAGTCAGCTCAGGAAATTACTGATGCCCGGATTGTTTAAATTTGAACATTCATCTCTAAAGCTAACTTATTTTAATGCTTTTAACTCCCACTAGAGGAGTATTCAGGAATCATGACAAACTCAGATCAGATTTGAATGCCCTGATATTAAAGTTGCCCTTCTTTTGGGAATTTTCAAGCTATTTTAATCTTTTTTTAATACAGATTTTAACTGAAAAAGCCCAATAGCTGTACATTATTTACATCATTAACATTCTAAATTACACATTCCTATATATAATTATTTAAAGGAAGTAGCACAATCAAATTTAATGTATCGATAAGTGGACATCACTGAATACACATACAATTTTTCAGGAAGGGCAGTTGTGTCAGTGTGGATTGCTTGAACACTCCTGTGCCATTTGCATCACGCAAGGTAGTTACAGAACCAAATGTGAGATGGGTCACAAAGAAGATTTGGCCTTGATATTGGAGCATGATACTTACAGTTGAACTCTTGAAGCTCTTTCAGGTCTCACATTCCTGGGTTAAGCCTTTTATAAGGCCCCTGCAGGGACTTAAAGCAGCAGAGTGTTTGCTGTGTGTGCGTCATCCTTTCAGGTCTTGTTTCATTCCAAAGCATCACAAGTGCCCACACTGTAAGTTAGGTGCCACTTTGATATTCATTTATTTACTTTGCAACATATTGTGTCAGGTAATAGAGGAGGGGATGCTTTGTTTGTTTAGTTTTTTTGTTTGTTTGTTTTTTATTTTTGCTTGGCTGTCTTGTAAATTACACAGGTGGATTGTGTGTTTAGATCACATGATCAGTTTGTCTTACTGCAACTTGACAACAAAACATGATACTGTGCCAACCAATGAGACCCCCTATTTTGTTGTTACAGTGAACTAAAAAAAAGTGCCGCTGGTGGCTTGTCAAAACAAGTTCTCAACTTCACCCAGTGTATTTGTTGGAACTGTTGTCATCCTGAAGGCTAATCTTAGCATTTCCCCCAAACACCACCTGTAAACTAATGATAAAACTCTTTGTTTTATGAATCATTAGGGCCAAAACCTTGACTGGGTCAGTCGTCCTTCCTTTTACATTCCCTCTAGTCGCACATATGTAGATTCTTTGAGTGTGATGATGAAACTAACATTGAGGTCACATTTTAATTACACTTAGATTTAATGGCTTCATTTTATTCCATATCACTTGAATGGGGAATCCATGACAAGTAATCAGTTGTGGGTACCAGAAACTTTAGCAAAATGTCCACACTTTTCCCATGACTAATACAGAAGTATCTTTTATGCATCATCACCAAAGGAAAGTCATCATCACCAGTTGTCCCTCTTCACATCCCTTTATTCCTGGAATTTTCCCCCAGAGGAGCTTTTTGAATGACCAGGAGAAATATGAAATATGTGTCCGTTTCTGCATAGGGAGTTTGAGTCTGGCGCCCCTCTTCTTTTCTCCACCTTTATTTGTTCTTCATATCTCCTGCCCAGCTCCACTCTCTGCTATCCACTTATCGCTTCCTTTCCCTCTTTCACTTTGTCTTTAGAACATCCTTCCACAGTGGTCGCTGTCCACTCCCCTTTTGTACATAATGTAAGGTTATTTATTTCATTCCTGTGTGCTGCTTTGGCTGTTTTACCCCCCCCACACACATACTTTTTTTAAGGAAAAAAATGTGTATATTGAACTGTATTGGGACCATTTTGAACCGTATTAGATGTTTTTTTTTGTTTTTTTTGGTGGCAATTTTTAATTCGGCATGATCATCTTAAGCAAATCCAATTTTTTTATTTGCCATTGTTTGTTTCTAGTGTTTTGTTATTCAACATTTGAATATATGTATATATAATTATATATATGATAAAATTATATATAATTATATAATGCCAAATGGCCTTTCTAAGCAAGAAACTGTTCAAACCTAATGTCACAACATCCTAATACTCATTACAGCTCACTTCCCAGTGAAGACATCTCATGATATAACGGTGCAACATAACTGCTGATCGTTCATGTACATACAGATCAGGAAGTCCTTTTGAGTGTTGTTCTTACAGGGTCTTCAGTCATTGTTTAACCCCAGTCAAATATAAATGTGCTTTGGGCGTCAATCACTTATTAATGCATGAATCATTTAGTGGTGTTATTGAAATGTTGTGTCGACAGTAATACCTTCAGTAAATAAGAGACATTACATTTACATTAAGGTGGTATCACTTGATTTAATTTGGTGGTTGGTCTTACACTTTTGGTTATAACAGTAGTTGACTAACAGTGACATGAAATTAATTTTTTATTATTGATAGAGCAATGGAAAAATATCACCACCCTAAAAATGTGACAACTAAAGACAAATTAGATCGAGAAAACCTCAATCTTCTCTCTTGTGTCATGGATTACTACATAATTCAGAAATGAAACTTTTACTATTAAGCATGTCTGAACAAGTCCAGTCTAGTGTATGTGAAACGTGCATCACCAAGAGATTCACAGAAAAAGAACTGTATTTTAATTCATTGATGTTAAATGGATGCTGTCACAGGTCAGAGCTAAAAACTGTTAAACCACCTTAAAATGGCACACACAATAAGTAAAACATGTTTAGTAAAATATTAGTGAAAGAAAGTAAAATGCTCTTCTTACCACAGGTGAAATGTAACAATGTACATTTGTTCAAATACTACACTTACATACACATTTAAGGCAAAAAAAGAGGCATTTTTGTAGTTTATAAAATTAGCTCCATAGTTTATATAATTATCTTCTGTAAGTAGCTTAAAATCCTACTTAGGCATTAATATAACTAATAATAATCCAATAATATAAAAGCAATAAGTGTGGAAGCAGGAATCATGATGTCTCACCAGTGACGCATCTTTGTTTGCTTTTACCGCTCCCTTGCACCAAACAGTCCTGTGTCATATTGAACTGCCAGATCAACTGAGTCAACATCAGTAACACGGGTGACATATTACTGTCTAATTGACAAGGATGTCACCTTTGGCCTGGTCATGAATTCACTGTGTTTGTTCCACTCCCCATGAGTTTCCCCTGAATGAAGGGTCAATAGGGCTGTGTGGTCAGTTTGACAATCCCCCCACGCCCCAGCGACCCTACCGGATAGGCGTTATAATGGATGGACAAGAACTAAATGCTCTTCTTTATGGTCATTTTTTTAGTCTCTTTGTAGCTGTTTTGGATCTTTTTTGTGGTAATTTTGTAAATGATCATTTTGAGTCTGATAGTGGTTGTTTTGCATGTAGCCTTTTAATGTACTTCTATGATTTTCAAACATGAAATATTAACTCACTTCACGCAGAAGCTCTGGCCATGCCCAACCCTGCCACCCCCACCTGGACCCATTGGTCCCCTTGGCCTGTGTCCGGTAGATCCATCCATGATACAAAGTGACCCTCGCCTCACTGATGTCTTCTATTCTGTAAAATATTGCATGTGCAGTGAGGTATTCTTTGAGATGTTCTCCTAATCCTATGGACAGCAGTATCCAAGAAAAAAATATTCTTGCATTAATTGATGTAATAAATCCACTCTGTTATTTAACCAGAGTGCCAGTATTTGGAAATGGATATGAGTGATATGTGTGAGCAGATGAAAGTGCCAGAGGTGTCACTGCTGTTTGCAGGTGGTAATTAGGTCTTCTGCACCTCCTATCCCTAGGAACTGTACATTTCATCAAAAGGACCAAAAGGGTCAGTGATGGGCAGGGCGCATAGTGAAGGATAATGGAGATGTGAGCTGGGAGGGGGGCCTTGTAGACTCATACATATAATGAGTAGGAGGATGAGTGTGAAGAGAATCTTTACAGTAAAACACCTGTGAAACCGTGAGATACCTTTAGAACCGGTCTACTGACGGAAAAGCAGAGTGAACTTCTGGAGGGACATTAAGGGACACCAGTGCCAAAAAAGTTGAGTTTAGACTAAGGTAAGGATGCTAATTTAAACTTGTACACATTTTTGTCCTCTTTTTAGAACATAGGTTGTTAATATAAGAATAAGCATTTCAGTGAACAGTGTCAGATCAGATGAAATAAAAGGCGATTATTATTTCCTTGAAACCTGTTGTCTGTCAGAATAAACTGTCTTCAGATTTGATATTTTGGGTTCAGTCTGGTTCTGTAATTTATCATTTAACCTTACATCTATATTTATATTTTATCTATAATTATTTCAAAAGGAGAGTTGGGAAGAAGACAATGAAAGTTCATTAATGTTGTCAATGTGAAAATGAATGTTTTAATTTTTACTTTTTTTTTTTACTACAGTCAAATAAGTTAAAGTTAAAATTACTCTTTGCAAAACTCCAATTTGCAGTAAAATTTGTTTTTTCACTTAAGTCCAAATATTCAAACTCATAGCATTATTGTTTCTTAGCCACATTTTGCAAAATTGGAATTTGCTTAGATTTCCTAAAGCAGATCAAACAGCAGGTGGAAATATGATTCGCCTGGTCTTGCTGCTGGGGCTCCTTCTATGTGTGGGGGTTCCGCTGTCCGGCGCCCAGCACTGGT